AAATTCCTTCAATGCACCTGCCAGCACTGGGAACATCCTTGCCACAATCTCTACGTCATCTGCGTACGCCTTGTGTTGTGTAAAGCTGTCAAAGATGGTACCTCCCGGGTTGGTTCTTATGGCCCTCGCCGCCTTTCCAATGTCATATTAAAAAGGTCCAATTTTATATGACCTAATTCTTTTTCTTGTGCTAATTTTACATGAACTAATTCTGTTTTCTTTTCGAATTTAACACGATTTAACTATTTTTCTTGTTCATATTTTATTGACGATATTTTTTCATCTAGTAAAGCTTTTAATTTCATGTGTTCCTCCCTTTCCAATTTGGCTTTGAGAATTTTCATTTCAACTTCATTTTTTTCATGTATTTGTTCATTATTATATGTTCGTTTGGCTGTATATTAACTTACATTCTGATAAATATAAGAGATCGTCCATTTTCTTTTAAACATTCTACGATTACTGTTGTTGGCTTCGAGTTCAGAAGAAATTCCTTTTGAACAACCTTCTTTTCCTGCAGAAATATCCAGTGTCGGTGTAGTATTAGAGTCTACTATTATTGTAATTTGACTATCTTCTTCAGCTGCTTGGCTTGCTCAATTAGAATAATAAACAGAATTAATTTTATTATTTATTAGGTAATTTTAGACTGTTTTATATGTTCTTATAAGATCAGGATTTTTTATACCATTAACAGTCTCTATTATATGTTAAAACTTTATTTGCAGAGTAGCTTTTGGTGTCCATGTAGCATATTCGTCTCTATAATTATAATACTTCAATTTTGATAAATCAATAGTTAATTAATAACATTAACAATACATGTATTAAATAATTTTGTAATTGTCATGCTGTTATTATCACTTCATGCCATACCTTTTTATATTTTTGTCTATTTAAAAAACATAGAGGATTAAAAGAGTGTTCTTGTTGTTCGTCTTACATCAACTCTGAAAGGATTTTAGGTTAAAATTTTGTTTTTAAATGAATAAATATTTTGAATTAAAATGTATGGCATAAAGTGATAATAATTGCATGACAATTTAAAAAGTATGTAATACATGTATTGTTAATGTCTTTAATTAACTATTAATTTATCCTAATTGAAGTGTTATAGTTATAGAGATGGATATGGTGCCCGGACACCGAAAGCTACTCTGCAAATAAAGTTGTAAAATATAATAGAGACTGTCATCCGTAAAAAAATCCTGATTTTATTATTTTTTTAAACAATTACAATTGAATTTCATATCAAAATACAATTATGACATTACTTGTGGATAAATAATTTGCTGAAGAATCATATTCAGAAGAAATTGGCTCCAACTGGGGCTTAAGAAGGTCCAATAATTTTGCAATAGATTCATTAATTTTATCTGGTACAGAGGGCCCTCCTCCAGTTTTGTAAAACTCAGCCTAAACATATCACAATTTTATATTTATAATAATTATAATTGTACTTACATTTACATTATTTAACTACAATAAACATCCACTTTCTAAAAACAAAGCTAACTTCACTTTCACTACTATCATTCTAATCCCCTCAGTTTTATTTATTATGAAATATTTTAGATTAATATTTTAGATAGTAGATGCATCTACCTGGTCATTTGCATTGTCCTTTTTCAATTTTCTCTTAAAATTCACATAGACTGTCTTCAGTTGAGCAGGTGATCTAAAGCTATTGTTGGTGGCATTAAATTCTTCTGCTACCTGCACCCTTGCAGAATTTTTTTCTTTGATTGTTAACCATCGGTTTTTTGTTTTCTATTGTTCTGAAATGCTCAGATATTTTGGAAAAGAATGACTGTCTTTCACTTTCTGAAAAATTGCTCCCTCTTTCTCTTTTTTTCCATCTTCTTTAACTATTTTACAATATCACGCACTCTTTACAATGTTTACACAAGTCGATGGAAGGTTTCATAATATAAACCAAGTTCCAAAAATCACCTGTTCTTTTTAAAATACGTCATAAATATGATGACATCATAAGCTGACACCATGTTGACTAACTCTATTTTAAAATTATTTGGTGCAACTGGACCCAAATGTTTTTATTGCTTAAGTTTTAACATGAGTTAGTTAAGAGAAAATATTAACTTTAATCACGAATGTTAGTATAACCGACCCTAAGGTTGCTTTCCCATAAGACCTGCACCTGATACCTTGCTGTTGTACTGATGATTGTGATTCTCATTTGGAGTGATCAGCATCATCAGTGGCGCTACAGCCCAGTTTGGACCTTGGTCTCCTCAATGAGCCTTCACCATGTAGCTCGGTCTTGTGTGGCCGCTTTCCAGTTGCAGACATTCAGAAGCTCTCTGGAATCCCTGATGACAGTATCCTCCCATCTCAGCCTTGGCTTGCCTCTTCCTCTGGTCCGATACATCCTACAGTCTAGCAACTTCCTCAGGATCTCATCCGCTTGCATCCTGACGACATGGCCAGCCCAGCGCAGCCTCCCCAGCCTTATGTACCGCATCACGTCTCTCTCACCGAACAGCTCGTAGACCTCCCTGTTGGTTTGCCTCCTCCAATTCTCGCCTACCTTGACACCACCAAATATTCAGCGCAGAATTTTTCTTTTGAAGACCAAGATCTCCTTTTCTTCAGCACTTCAGGTCCAGGCTTCTGATCTGTAAGTCAGGACTGGCCGGATTAGTGTCTTGTAGAGCTGGCATTTGGTGCGGCGAGTGACAGCTCGACTCCTCCAGTGCTTCCTAAGTCCAAAATAGCATCTGTTGACCTTCCAGGGTGATCCTGTTATTGCTGCTGACCACTGAGCCTTAATAGGTGAACTGGTCTACACATTAAAACGAAAATGGACCCGTCTTCACCTCTCCTCCAGCAGTAGCCACTACACCAGGTCCAGCTCGCATATATTTAGTTTTCTCTTGGTTCACCTTCATGTCCATTGCTTCTGCTGCTTCAGCTAGCCTCAGAAATGCCTCCATCAGCGCCTGAAAGGATCTCGCCACCAGGTCCAAGTCATCGGCAACTCCCTGCACCTGTACCAGCCTGTCAATGATTGTTCCAGAGGTTTGTATTCCAGAATCCCTAATTACCTTTTCGAGGGCCAGATTAAACAAGGGACACGCGAGGCAATTGCAATGCCTCACTTTTTTTTTCATTTTCAGTATAAAGTTTTATCAGAACAAAGATTGTTTTCTATTTCCTACATCCAGAATAACTATGAAACTATTGGAGTCAGCTCAAAAATGCATGGGAACATTTTTGTAGAGAATTTTGTCTCCAGAATGTGTATTTTTCAAGATATAAACAAAAAACTTCAATAATTTGGGTGTTTCAACCCCTCCTCCCCTCTCTCTCTCTCTCTCTCCTATATCCAATGCTCAAAACCTATTCATTCCTTCCTCCACCTCGACTACAGTTGTCGGGTGTATGGCGGACTCTCTGGCGAACTTGAAGCAAGACTTAAATGGCTTATGAATTTGGATGAAAGAAATTTTTTTTCGGGGTCCCCAGAGATATGCGTAGAACTTAATATTGTGTTGAGCTATAGTGGCTCTACCCATCTCACAGGTGTCAGTATTTCTTTGTGTCCTTCCTATATCAGATTATCAGAACTCTGTGCCCATCCTACATACTACAAAATCTGCAGGTAAGGAGTAGAGGGAATGCACTGAACTTAGACAAGCCAAACAGTTTATTTAAAAACTCTCCCACCTCTTGAACTAACTGGCAGCTAGATAGGCCTACCTAAATAGGAAATCTGACTCATCATTGAGATACTAACAGGGCACTGCATATTTAAAAGACATCTGAAGATTTGCGGGATAGTTGACAATGAACTATGCCATTTAGAAGGATGAGTAAAAGTTTGGAAAGGAAAGAAACAATAGTAATTATGTGAGTTAAAGTTACCTAAAAAAAAAACCAGAAAATATGATAAAAAAAGAAAAAAACATTAAAACATTAAAAAACAACATGATGAGATTTAAAGTGAAGAAAATTGAAAATAAAAAAAAGAAATAATTTTTCAAACTAGCAGTGCTAATTAATGAATAAAAGAAACCATATTGGCTATGAGAATTCAAACTTATGTACAACAAAAAGCATATGTCTTATAAGAAAAATAAAATATTTCCTGTGAATATAATTAAAAAAGAAAAGAAATAGTATAAATTTACAAAAGAATAAGTTAAGTATAAAAACAGAAATAAATAACTGGAAAAAAAGAAAGGTATATGTTTGCTGTAACAGTTGAATTTATATAATTTAAATACATTAAGATCTTCCGCTTTATTTATGATGATTACTTGTTGGCCATATTTCTACTTAGTGTAGCATTATACTGCCTCGTCCCTTTGAACTTCGAAGAACTCTCACAAAAACTACAGTTCCATTGGTTCTTTTTCATTTGTGTGACTTCATTCTCGTTGATTTTAATGCATTTTCTATGATGTAAAATTTTGTAGACCTAGCACACAACTACAGTTTTATTATCTTTGGTGGTGGTCAGTTGACAAGCAGAACTCAATACTATTAATGTTTTAATATTTAATTAGATACAACAAATGACTAGTTGCTAGTGCAGACATTGGTGGGAAACACCTATGGTGGTGGCAATCAGCTCATCCTCGATCTCTTTATGGTTCACTTGTTATTTATTGCAAATAGACAGTTACTTTGACGCAACACTGTTTTAATCGCCTACACTATTAAATTACTTACTTGTTGCAGAAATATAAAGAAATAATAGGAAAATGGGAATTTCTTATTTTTATCCGTGTTTGAATAAATTTCTTTGACAAGAAGTGCCTTATAACAATGATAACTTATTTGGAATTATATAGTATTCTATAACATGGACTATAAATGTAATGGAAGATGTCATTAGACTCTTGAACATTAATTCTATTGTCATCATTGATTCTGATATAACACTTGATTTGAATAAATGTCTTACTTTATTTTTATATTTGCAATCATTTTGAAAAATATTTTTGTTTCATTACCATCTTTTTTTATTTTAGTGCATTAAAAAGTGGCCGTTTAGTTGAAACATCAGTTGATTCTCAAAAAGAATCATCATCTAAATTAATTGATAAACCTAATTCAGTTATGGTACCAAAACGTTCTTCAAGAGTTGTGATTTCGCGGAGGTGAGTATAATTTTTAGAATGTCTATTATATTTAAACCTGTGCCACTACAACCCATGAAAGATCTTGCTTGGGTTCAGTGCTTTGTAATAAAAAACATGTTTAAGGCCAACGGTTATGTAGGAAGGTGATTGGGCCAGAATCACACTTAACCACTAGTTTTTTCCTCTTAATTTTTTTATTAAGAGTATCCACTTTATAGAGGCTAGGTGTGCTCCAGAAGGGTCTCCAGATTCCAAGGTCAAACCATGACCATGATGAATCAGAATAAATAATTATCTGCCACAGCCGGACTTGGACCTGGGATCTTGAGCTAGGGAGTACCATGCCTTATTCACAGAGATAGCCCACTTCCTATGTTTTATTTAAAACATATATAAATATTTATTATTTGGAAGGTGTTTGCCTTTAAAGTTAATTTTTTTTTCAATTGTAAGTATAGTTCTTTCATATAAAGAGTTGGTCTCTACGCCATTATAACTCTTTCATTTTAATTTAGTATCTTGCATGAACATATATGGTGGTATGCATAGACGTCCCTTATACTTTACTATCCCTTACTGCCAGAGATCAGAGTCCATCCTTTCAACCTCCCTTCTACAATACGAGGGCATCTGATGGAGATAAAGGACCCTTCTTTATTCCTAAAACTCCCCTTAACATTCACTACAACTTATATTTAACTGATAAAAAATGTTATTATTGTATTATTTTTATTTTTGCTATTATTATACTTCTAAAATTATTATTTATGTTATTATTATACTTCTACCTAAATAAAATATAGTGAAGTAAAATTTCTTGGTTCAAACTATTTTCCAAATATTGAAGAGGTAGACTAAAAGCTAAAAGTTAAAAAAAAAAATTATTGGAAACATTCTTTTCTCCTCTCCACTCTAAGGAGTGTATCTTTAGGTAGGCGGAGGTAACTATACTGTTACTACAATAATGTTGTTATCTATGAGTGACTCAATAAATATTTAATCCAGACGAATTACATTTCCTCACGTCAGAAGTTTTAGTAAGAGTGGTAGGTCTGGAAAACGAGAAAACTCTTAGAAAGTTTGGAATGTATCAGTGTTCTCGCATATATTGATTTTTGGTGTTCATATTTAAAAAAACAAAACATTTTTAGTTATTATTTTACTGATTTCTATTATATAATTAATCAGCTTCTATCAATTTTAATAGAGACCGTTTCACACCCTCTTTGCTTAGCTTCTATATTAAAACATAGATCAATTTTTTTTTTCTTTTACTATTAACATAGGCATATTAATTTACTTTTTTATTTTTCTTTATTTCTTTTTCTTTGTTATCTCTATCTTAGTTATTATTTGTATGTACATATTGTGTGAATGATTAATGTAGCCTTAATGTTAATGCCCTCCAATATGGCAGAGTGTATTAATATTCAATTAAAACCAAAACAAAAAAAAAATAGGTATGTAATAGGTATAATGGCTAACATGGCCATCCATAAAGCCAAAAAAATAAATGGAAGCTTTTATTGTTTTTACATTTGAGATCAAGCAAAACAAACTGTCACATCTGCATATGATGTGAAAAGCTGTTTCATTCTCCTCCTGACAGAATCTGCATAGCGGATTCGTCATTACTCGAAGATTAAACATATGATTATTTAACTTACAGTGACCTGTATAGATCGCTGTAAGTTTTTTAAGAGCTGCTCTGTCCATGTTCAGTAGCTGTTTACTTCTTTTTTTACATGGCCCTTCAAGGAACAGCTTTGAATGTCTCTGTTTCTTGTCTGTCCAGTAATTACTAAATTTGTTCCCATAGATCTCCCTGATCCTGCCCTTGGCAGTGCTGAGGCTGATTCCACAGACAGGCTCGGGAGTTATAGGAATGGTATCTGAGCCCAACCTGACTAGCTCATCAGCCATCTCGTTGCCTGGTATGCCAGAGTGACCTGGCACCCACTCCACTGCAACTCTGTTGTGCTCAGTTAGCTCGTTAAGTGCTCTATTGCATTCCTTAACGACCTTTGAATAAACATAATAGTTGTCGAGAGCACCTATTGCTGCCTGACTGTCAGTATAGATGGTAATCTTTTTCTCAGTCAGATTGGTTTGCAGTAGGTTTTGTACACAGTGGCAGATTGCCAGTATCTCGGATTAAAACACTGAAGCATACCTGCCAAGTGGTATAGAAATTTTTTCTTTTATATCTTTGCGATAGATGCCTGCTCCAGAGCCGAAGGCTATTAGAGAGCCATCTGTATAGCAATTTATTCCACTATTTGGTTTATGACTTCTGCTGCTATCTATCTCAACCTTATATTTTCGGTCCTGATATTCTCGAATTAGAGTGTCAGAGTGCATAGCTAGTACTCCTTCACGTCCAATCCTGTTCAGCAGTATTGTGTGTCCTCCCTGACAGGGGACTGTTGAACAGTAAGTTGACTTGCTTATCCTGTACAATGTATTTGTTGTACATTGAGCCTCCACCTCCGCCTCCACCTCCAGCTGCAGCGGAGGCATGCCCAGCATCACCTCCATAGCAGCCGTCGGTGTCGTGCTCATTGCGCCTGTTATCATTATACAAGCAAGCCTTTGAGTCTTTCCTAATAAGGATAAGTTGGCCACAGTCTTTGCTTTGTGCCACCATAGCAAAGCTGAGTAAAGTATGATAGGTCTGACTGTCGTTGTGTACAGCCAGTATACCATTTTTAGTCCCCAATTCTTTCCTATCGCTCTTTTACAGGCCCATAGGCATTTGAGGGCTTTACTTGTCACATTTTGAACGTGTTTAGTCCATGTCAGTTTATGGTCCAAAGTGACTCCAAGGTGTTTTACTTCCTTACTCAATGTCACTTGGATACCATTGATTTCCGGCATTTTTATAGCCACCTTCTTCTTCTTAGTGAAGATACACACATTGATTTTCCTAGGGTTGATGCTTAGTCCTTTAATCCTGCACCAATTCCTAAGAATATTAAACACTGTACTGAGGATATCAGAGAGGACACTCTGATGCCTCCCTCCTATGAGGATGGCAATATCGTCAGCATATCCCTGAGCATAAATGCCTGCAGTGTTTAAGGCTTCCAATAGTGAGTCAGCCACAAAACACCACAGTAGCAGAGAGAGCACACCTCCCTGTGGACATCCACCACAGGGTTTAATCCACAGTTCCTTGTGCCCTATTTCTGATTTTAGAACTCTGTCCTCCAGCATTCTCCCAATCCATCTGGAGGTCATAGCGTCTATATCTTTTTTCCTTAGCGCATCATTTATGATGTTATAGGGAGTTCTATCAAAGGCACCCTCGATATCAACGAAGACACCTATCATGATTTCACTCTGTTCTAAGGATTTCTCTATTCTTGTTACCAAGTTGTGAAGCGCCACCTCACAGGATTTTCCTGGTTGGTAGGCATATTGCTTTGAATGTATTGGACTAGTAGCCAATATGTGTTCCCTAATATGTCTGTCCAGTATCTTTTCCAATGTCTTCATTAAGAAAGATGACAGACATATTGGGCTAAATGCCACGATCCTGTGTATTGGGGTCAAGAAGTTCATTTACTGTCGTAAAACAATTTGGGAAATGAGCTTTTGCTACCACACTCAATGTTTCCATCTCATTCGTGGTGTGCTTATCTTCATATTTGAGTGTTTCCATTATACCTGTGTTGGTTTGTTTTGACAGTATTTTGTTTACCTTACATACCGCCGGCATGTTGTCCACCTCCAGACAAAACCTTTTCCAGGCTTGTCTTTTGGCTTTCCTGACAGATTTGTGATACTCAGTAAGAGATTTCCTATAGGTATCCCAATTGCCAGATTTTTTAGAAGCATTGAATAGTCTCCTCATGAGTGTTCTTTGCTTTCTTAGACTATCATTCCACGAGGACACTTTCCTGTTGGTTGTAGTTTTTTTGGCTTCATTACTGGCCAAATATGCTCTAGTCATAGCATCAGTGATTGAAGTATTTAATATTTCTAATTGCCATGTATTGTGGATAACTTTGGGGCAGCATTTGACAGCCTCCTCCAAGTTAGAACTATAGGACACCCAGTTTGTTCGTTTGGGGTCTCTATATTCCACATCATGTTGTATTCTGTCAGATATATCAAATCTGATATACCTGTGATCCGAGCATGTTTCTTCATCAGAGACATGCCAGTTATCTATAAGGTCACTAGTCAATCGAGTCGCTAGTGTTATGTCTATGATCTCAGTCCTAATTCTATTACAAAAGGTAGGCTTATTTCCCCTGTTCAGAATATCAAGGTCATATTTAATAATAGTCTGTAAGAGTTTCTCACCTCTTGAGTTGGTGTTTGTGCTTCCCCAGATCTCGTTGTGTGCATTAGCATCCAGGGCAGCAACAATTTCCTCCTTACTCTTTAATAGTTCATCCATTCCTTCTGCAGGTTCTGGATGTTCATATGGCAGATAAACCGCTGCTATGATTAATGATTTGTTATACCCTTGTTGGGTATATTTAGCTGCTGCAAGATCTCTAGAACACAATTGCCATAGAGGCAGCAGTTTTAGTTTGTTTTTAAAAAGGAGGCAGGCTCTAGGATATGTGGGTGCAGATATTATTCCATACCCATGCATATTAAGTCCTTTGATCCTGCCTTCATATAGGTAAGGTTCAAGAATTAATATTATATCAATATCATTACCTTTTATATACTGTTGCAACACTCCACATGCCGCAATGCAGTGGTGGATGTTGATCTGCAGCAGTTTCATATATTTTTGATTGTTTATTTTCTGGAAGGTGGTTTTCCAGACGGGGCCGATGGTAGGGTTCCTCCATCAGACTCAGTTTTCACTTTGTCTTTAGGTTTCTCCCCGCCTCTCGACCTCGCTTTCGAACCCCCACCAGTGTTAGATGAGTGCTGCGTGACAAAGGTCTGGCCACCTGACCGCGACAGTGACTGGGGTTCGCCTCTGTAACCAGTTTTCACTGGTTCCTTTGGCTTAGCCCCGCCTCCTGCCCTGGCCGACGGCCTCGACCCCG